ACTGGACTCAAAGCTGAAAACCGTGTTATTGTTCTGTCCATTTTAAAAGTATGCATTTATTTGTATTGGTCCATCACGTGACATGCTTGTGAAAGTAAAGTTTGTTGTTTCTATCTGATAATGTTTTTAAAAAGTTTAAGTAGTCTGAATAATTTTCAAGACACTGTAAGCAATGTTTGCCCTGCAAAATGGAAATAACCATTAGTCATTCCTTTGGATATATGCAGTTGCAATGGCTAAAATGCCTTGGAACCACCAGCATCTGGGCCTGCTCAGAGTGTGACAGCCTGTGTCGTAAGAGCAGACCACGAGTAACATCACGTCCCCTCTGTACTCCCCTCCTGGCCTCACTTCTGAGAAACGCTAGCATTGAATCATTTACTCGGCCCACATTAAAAATTGGAATCTGCATGCATTATATATTCACCCCTGCTCGGACAAATCCTCTTAACTGTGGGAGAAATTGTTAGGACGGGTCCTGTGGAAAAGTAAGAGCGTTGTCTGGTTGTATTGCCCAAAGCAAGGGAGCATCTCAATCTGTCACTCAAATCCACACACACACCAACCACACTATGAATAACTTATAAATAATATATCTTTATACTTTCTTTATTAATATTAAACATTGCATAATGAAGCAGCGACTATAAGAAAATCCCACAGCAATATTCATATTACCACGAGCTCTCCTGGAGTGGACCTTTCATTGTTTATGTCAGCCCTGTCACATTGTGGTTAATCACATCAAAATGGCTTTGAATGTTTTATTTTTCACCTCTGCAACTCAAGAAAAAAAATCACAAATTCGTATTTGAGCCTTGTATTATACCCTGAGAAAGCATTTTTTTTCCCTAACTGATGTCTATTTTTGTCTTACATTTAAATGTTTTAGACCATCAAGCATATTTCTATTAAATGCAGTTTAGAAATGGTGATTATTTTTAGAGAAAAAATCATTTAAACCAACATAGCTCTATGAAAATATAACCATTCCCCCATGCTCCGTTATGAATTAGCTGTTTAATTGCAATTACTCCACCCACACTGTCATAGAAACAAGAAAGGTAAAAGTACCTGAATGACAATATAAAGCTTGCTAAAATATTTCTGAATGCACTTCTAGGAGGTCATTAATCAAACACAGCATGTCTGATACACAATCCCACAATAACAGTTAAACATGGTAGTGGTTGTATGATGGTCTGGGACTGCTTTGCCACTTCAGGAACTGGACAATGAATTCTGCTCTCTCTTATGACATCTTGAAGGAAAATATCAGACCATTAGGCTCATGGATTCATAGCATAATTATCTAGAAATAAGCAGCAATTTCAACTGTAGATTACTCAGAAAAAATAAAAAAATAAGGTTTCCAAGTTGCTTATTCATATTTTGACCTTAAATCCAGTTTTTAAGCTGTGATGTAAACAGTCTGTTGTTCCAGGAAAAAATCTCACTAGTGTTAAAAAAAAAAAAAGCTATTTTCTTTTTCTGTTATCACCCTGCAACGTTTGGATTTCTTGTTTCTTTAAATAAACAAAATCATCCCGTGAAAACATATTTTTTTTCATACTGAGATTATCTTTGTCTGATATTAAAATTTAAAATACTTTTCTGCAGCACTTAGTGTGTCTATTTTTAGTTTCCCTGTGACTGTAACATTTCTTTAATTCTAAGATGGTACCACATAAAAAATGGAAAGGATGTTCCCAATCAAAGGCAGCTAAGATGATTGTACATATCTCCACTCTGTATGCAGGATCCTGCCTTTAACACACTGTTTTCACCTCAACATAAAAAATTAGTGTCTAAAATTGGCTTACATTGGTGGATTTCACTGAAGAAAATGAGTTTCAGCAAAAAAAAAAAAAAGTCTCTCAGTCGGACAGAACATCCATTTCAGTTGGTTATGTTTTCATCCGCTGTGTGGATGTTGCCCCGCGGTGTGTTCAGGTTAACTCGTACTGAACAAGGACACTTGCCACGACAGATGCGTGTCTCCTTGGAGGCAACACTTTGGACTTAAAACCTTTCCTGTGTCCACAACCAGGGCATGTTGGCCCTCTGAAACCAAGCTTAAACTGCTTTTGCCCCGAGCCTTCAGAAACGAGCTATAATGGAGACATTGATGTATTATTAAGAAACCTATGAGTGAGGATCAAGGAGATGCTCACAGCCAGCAGACATGGCAAGGGAGAGCGTGTGAACTCAGCATTATGTTTCCCTTCATGTCCGAGGCTGCTATTGCTCTGCAGCCCCATGCTCTGACTTTTACTTTCATGTAATATAACAAACTGAATTGTTCAAACATGCTATGGCCGGTCTGCGAGACAAAAACGCTTCCTTGGTTTTTTGCATGTGGCATCTGCTGAGGTTACGTCTGCTTGAGCCAGAACTGAGATGACATTTCATTTATATAAATAATTACTGTCCTGAAAGTCCCACAGGCCTGCCCTGAAGCAATCAAACTTCTAATGCTCTTAAAATTGCCCACCATGTTTTATTAATGGCCAGGCTGTAAAAATGTATCGCCATGGCTGCACACTTCTATCCACTGATCCAGGAAATATATTGTCAACTTTAAATGGCCATGAGAGGCTTTCGTTTTTGTTCTACGGAGTATTTCAAACAAATTACAGCTTTAACATAAGTTTGAATTGTATGGTAATATTCTGGCGGACTGGGGGTTGAACTATACTGTCTAAAAGGCACTTACCTGTACATATATGAGCTGAATACAGAGAAGAGTGTTCTAAACGATTGTCCTTTAGATCCATTAATGCCCCTAAGTGGGCCTGATCTGCTCTAAGAATACTTTCAGATCCTGGATTCTGTGCAGCACCAGAAATATCCACATCCATTCTACTTCTCATCATATTGCAACACTGGCAAAAGTTGCAGTTTTCTGTATTCTTTAACAGAACCAAACCTGAAAAGTGTGGAATGCATTTACTTTTAACCCCTCAGACCTATGCTTTAACCACATATGCTCCAGTTACAACTCCATGTCATTTGGGGAATATCTGCGCCAGTTATTCTCTTTGTTATGCCAAACAACCTGGCGCTCAGTCAAGTCGTTTCAACTAAACTCTGACCTATATCCCCACAGCATGACGGTGCCACCACCATGTTTTAAGATAAGCATGAAGTGTTTAGGAATTTGTAGCAATTACCCCACACCGTGTTTTATATGTAGGCCACAAAGGTTCTGTTTTCATCTCATGTGATCAGACGACTTTCTATGGCAGATTTGCAGCGTACTCGGCATGTTGCATGGGGACAACTTTCAGCTTCCTCTCATCAATGGCTTTCTTCTTTCCAGAATTGTAGAGTGCACAAACAACAATTTGTGCTCTCAACACATTTTCTGCCTGAGCAGAGCTCTGATGCTCCTCCAGAGTTTCCATAAGCTTCTTGTCTGCTTCTCCCGCTGCTGACCTTTTGCATTCAGGTTAGGAGTCTCAAATGCCACTTTGAGGGGCAGGCCATTATTTTTGCACTGTGGGAGCTGCGTCAGCTATTTGATATAGATAGATTAAACAAGGGACACAGTATGCACCCAGGGCTGAAGTATAAAACCCCTCGGTGGATGACTATGTGTTGGTATTTCTGTAGTTGTGTTGTATTCTTTCCATTAGAGCGGAGGTCTTCAACAGGGGGTCCACGGAGGTACTGCATGGGGGTCGCGAAAGTTTTGGTTGATTAGACTTTTTTTTTATATTCCCCCCTGCAATTTTTTCCACTAATTGAAATGTCTTTAAATGCACATTAACATGAATTTAACACACTGTATTAAACAGATAAATGGAGGAAGAAGATCTCTTTCAGTCATCAATGCACACATTCAGCGACACACAGGAGTTATTTCAAGCTGGGCACCGTTTCATTCACAACACCTGTCACATCAACCAGGAATCAGAAATACTTTAATAATGCCAGGGAGAAGTTACTTTTTTTTTTTACATTACTCCATATGTAGTAGAGCGACTATAGGAGCAGTTTGATATACACAATTTCCTACAATATATATATATATATATATATATATAATTAGGGGGTCCCTGCTCCATCTTGCCATCAGTTTGGGGGTCCTTGGCCTGGAAAACACTAAAGACGCATTAGAGGATTGAAGGCCATGCAATCTTTGAACCAATATGTTCATGTTGTCTTTTTTAAACTTTTTTTTACAGATTTATCTCAGACCTGTCAACCATGTCTTGGTTTAAAAACTACACATGAGTCGAGTCTATTGGTTGATAAGGTTTTATTTTGGGCGTTTTAGACTAAAGAGAGCTAAATATGCTTACAAATTTGTTTTTTATATGTCAAATAATCAGAAAACAAGGCAGTGTTTTCCTTTTACTTAACAGTTCTGAGCTACTAAGTGATGGTCTGACAGCAAAAAATCATAATCCATTTTGTTTACTGTTTTTGGTTAACAGAATGTAAAAAAGGTTTACAGAGGATGAAAGGTTTTGCAAGGCACAAGGTTAAATTCAGAAAGCTGTTTAAGGTGTTATCCTCTGAATAGATCTGCTATGTCTCCTGAATGTGCCAACAGAGGGTACTGTTGCCTTAAACTACCCTGATAACAAACCTGCAGCATGTTGTACACACCCCCTGTGTCACAGTGTGTGGAAATATATGCTTAACATTTATACTGATTATGCATCCGAGCCTTATTTAATATTAATAATGCTTAAATGACTGCATGCATGCAATAAAAGTATCTTAAGAGCAATTAAATGTTTGACCTGATATGCGGGAGGTCTAACCACCCCTTGTGTTTATGTGACATTTTTAATGACATCTTAATAAATTAGAGAAAAGCTGCAAGAAATAAGAAATGTGCAAGCTTTTTGGAGGATAAAATGATGATGAATGCAAAGGTGAGATGGTTTATTTTTGGCGGTAACATAACACTGCTTCAAAAGCCAGACAAGCATGAGCCTGTTAAGTAAGTAAGCGCTGATGACTGGTGATTACTTCTCGGAGCGGATGGAGGAGCCCCTGGGAGCCGCCGCTGTCTGCGTTTGTCCAGCTCCTGTCTGACGCGTGAAGAACGAGAGCGCACTTGAACTTGAATCTGTCCGGGGCAAATAGACGGCCGTGCACGCGCACACGCGCGCATCCAGGCGGACAGAGCATCTTTCATCGCGTGCGTCGATTGGAAGTAGCCTCAAACACTATAGGAAACTGGGAAATATCGGACCTCCTCAGCTTGTTGGAAGAAAAGGAGGAGGTGTCACGTCTGCCTGCCTGGGTTCTCTCTCTCCTTTCTCTCTCTCCTACGTGTGTGTGTGTGTTTGCGTGTGTGTGCGTTTAATGTGTCTCCCAATCAGCAAGGCTAGTGCCGCTGGAGCCAAGAGTTGCCGCTCCGCGCACCAATGCCAAAACGCACAGGAGGAGTCAGTGCCAAAGGGTCATTTAGCGCACCACTGCTGAGATGGAAGGACTGTAGGGAGCACACAGAGTAAACAGCTGCTATTTGGCCCCTAGATACGGCAATCATAGGCTTTTAAGAGAAATTTCTGAAAAAATAAACAGGGTCTATTCTCTGATACAGCGGTCGCTGCAGAGGTGGGGAAGCCCAGGATTTTTTTTTATATTGATTTTTAAATAACAAAAGATCTTTGCAACACTTCTCCTAACCTGCTCTCATCGATCCCTCGCAGCCTTAAAAAAATAAATCCCACTTTGGCTCACTCCCACCCGCGATCCAGGTGTTGCTCCCACGGCAGGACTCCCGCGCGGATCTTCCACCCTCATCACGCGGCGCTCTTCCAGCTGCTTGACGCGCGTTAAAGTTGACCCGTTCAGAGACTGTCTGGGGCGAAGAGAGAAGAGCGCGATCGGACGGAGTGCGGAGGAGAGCTGCTCACCGACACCACGGTTCAAGCCGACTCCAAGTGCCGTTCACCGGGCGATGCCAGAGTAAATGCCGGGGCAATGTCCCGCCGCAAGCAGGTGAACCCGCAGCACTTATCGTTGACCCACAGGGAGACGGTCCAAGGTGAGTTTGTGTGTTTAAAGAAATATTTTCTACGTATAAATACTATATTTTTGTCCTCACTTTTATCACGCTTAATCTAAACTTTTTCTTTGCAAGAATAAAGCATTTTCTCTCAAATATATTATTGGAACAGAACCAATTTTATGCATTTAAAGTTTGGATATAGGAATTAACTGACCACAAGAAGACATTAATTTGTTAAACACAATATTTATTACTTATTTTATAATAGCTTGTGTGATAAAATTTCATAGAGTTAAATAAGCTTTATTTTCACGATTTACAGATTTTATCACTCCCTTTTAGTGAGGGCGTATGTTTTGAGTTTGAAAGCATGCGGGTACATGTCTTAAATTCGTCATAACACACATTTGTCATGGCACTATTCGTATTTTTCTTTTTTATATTATTATTATTACTAATTGCACAGTTTTCTTAACGTGTCCCAAACGCTTTAGACATTTGTGCAAAGCTTTCCTCTTTGTCCTTCTAAATGCTTGAAGGCCTATTATTAGTAGTTCACTTTGAGGCTAATAATTAGATAAAGGAAAGTGATAAAAAAAAACACTTTCTTACAAAGAAAAACGTTTAGAGTTGACACATTTGTTGTGATAATAACAATGATCTATTTTTATTTGATACAGTGCTTTCCAAAACTGCAATCAGATAACTTTTAAGGCCTACCGTTTAAATAGTTTAAATCCAATTATATCAATCTAACCTTTATCTCCGTGGGTTCGGCTTATGCCTAAATCCAATTCAAAGGGCCTTCCTAATCTGGGTAATTTATGCACAAACTTCATGATGTAATCTCTGGCCCGATGTGTGCTGAAAACTCTTTTTTTTTTTTTTGGGCTCATGATTTATTTGCTCCATGTCTCTCTTTTCTCACAGAGCCTCCTCATAGTTGTTGCATTAAATACGTCAAAAAATGTTTTTTTAACTAACATCTCTGTCTTAAAATGTTGGAAATCTTTTTTAGTAGGCCTAATTACCTGTAAAACATCTGACTTTTTTTCCCAATTTGAAATGTCTAAATTTTAATATTAGTTATAATAATATGATCAAGCATTTACCTGCGGAAAATTGCACAAATAATTTAGAAATATTGGCGTTTATTGAACTAATCCATTTTTGATTTTCTGTCGTATTTACAGTAAAACCTTTAATTGCCTGCCATACAGTGACTGCAATCCTGTCCTTCTGCACTCACAATTAGTTGTCACACCTTGTCTTTTAACTGTCTTTTAAGTGTCCAGACGATTTATCTGTTCTTGCCTGAAGCTATTAAGGAGTGAGCTTTCAGTTGCTTTATTTTTTTTTTAAACTTCCCGTAGTAACACATGTAGCAGCATCTTTGGAAATATTGCTTAATACATCAACTGCTGAAGTGTCCCTCTGAATAAAGAGGACAGTAGGATGCTGACGAGTTGGGCAGTTTAGAGGACCTGAATCCTGTCCTACCTGTTCCTTTACCTAATATTCTCTCTGGTGTTTGCTGAACCGTGCCCTCAAGCAATGGCTTGATAAGTACAGGTGTAAGATCAGGGAGGGACAAAAGTTTAAAGCTCCTTTAGCCATTTTCTTTTAGATTCTATAAAATATCTTGCAAATATGTGTGAACGTTCACCGTTTATATAATATCTAACAGACGTTCAAGATTTGATGAGTCCTTGTGCAGGAGGTGTTATGATAGAATGCAGCTATTATTCTGCAGCTGGTGACAGTATTATGCTGTGGGCTGTCTCCCTATGATGGGAGGGCCTGGAGACGACCACCTGAGGCGGGGAGATCTAAGGAGCGTGGGCGAAAACTAAACTGTAACTTCCTAAAAGACAGCTTTTCAACCGCCCTGTGTGAAGAAGAAGAAGAAAAAAAAAAACTGAAGTCAGTTGACTTATTCGTCAACTTTTTTTCCTCCATGACCTGTCAGGACCAGTCACAGTGTATCTCTTTACACGAGCCATAACGGGAAGTTTGAGGAGGATGCCAACATATATCAGCCGCCCGTCAGATCAGGGAGAACAGCATGTAACTGAACGCAGCCTTGTGCCCTGCAGCCATGGCCTATAGGGTCATGCTCTGTTTGGGAGAACACAAAACCTGAATATCAGCATACTTCTGGACAGGCTTGTCAGTGGAGGACGGTGTCTGTCAGTAGGTGGGGAAAATACTTGCCCAGCCAGACATCTAGGGACACTCAAGTGCAGAAAGGCAAAAGAGTATGCAGCACAAACAGCGCACACACACATGGACTCAGCATTTACTGCGAGTCTGCAGAAGTTACGCTCAGATTGCATGACCACATGCAAAGTGTGCGGCTTCACTGCCTAAAACAAATCACATGTAAGTAGCTGTTCTGCAGAGAGCTGGATCTAACCGTCAGCTTTCAGTTATTTCTTTGTTTTCTAAATACACTGGTGTGATAGAGGTGATGCATTAATGAGAAAGTAAAATCCAGTCCTACGGTAGTTCTGATGATTTACTCTACAATCAGTGTGGAACTGAGGGGCTAATGTTTTTGTGAGCCTAGACCCCAGTAATATTTGCAGTCTACCATCACCGTCCAAGCACAGAACCCTTCCCTGGATCCATCCACGGAAACGCCTCGTGATAACTGTTTACTCTCAGAATTGGCATGCTACTTGTGAAACAGCCAATGTTTTCTTCTTTATTCATGCCATATGTGCCGTCAAATGATGGGGAGAAACCCACCGTACGCGCTGCAAAACCCCACTGTAAATATTCACACAAACGTTGCGGTAACGGGATGATAATCTCACAGGAGACGATCCGGAGTGAACGATTTACGATTCACAGATTTTGCTTTCAATAATTTAGAGATTACAAAACACGTTCGATGAGTTTTGCAACCCTGCATTTTTTTTTTATTAGTGTAAAAATTGGCCAAATATGATCTCTTCCTCTCCAAGTGTCATGCCTCATAGACTGCAAGTCATTTATGGTGATTTTAGTGACAAGTCACAGTCAGCAACACAGCTTTATTTTGCTCACTTTCAGACTGATAATATAAGATTTATGATAAGGAATAAGACTGGTACAGATTAAATACTGATAAGATAATTAAACACACACTCACACACACACACGCAGAGGCCTGACCTTACACAACATTGCAGTGTTGCAGCTCCGCTTTGCAAAAAGCAGATGAGAAAAGAAATGAGATAGGCTAAGCGGGGCTTGCATGTCGTTTAAATTTTTGATTGCAACCATCTGCAATGTTGCTGGTGTCATTTGTTTTCGAATGGCAGAGTGAATCTTACCCGACTTTCCCCCCCAAATAGGGTTTACTCATAAGGCTGAGTGTTTTTCAGCTACGAGACTGCAGAAACAGAGACAGGCTTAAACCTACTGAATATCATCTCAGTGCCTGTGGCCTTACACTGTAATTTTTTAAGGAAGATTGTGTTGAAATGTAAAAAAAAAAAAAAAAAAGACTCAAGATTTAAAAACCTGCAAATACTTGATGGGTTCGGTCTGAGGATTCAATCAAATTCAAATTTAATGAATAGAACTTTCATAAAAACCAAAGTTTTCTGTTATTCTTAAAGAAACACTCCACAAATTAAGTATCTTAATTTAGAGATTTTGGAAGTTTATAGGAATGGTTAACTAATTTTGTTTTTCTTCTATGGTCTTAAAACTGTTTCGGCCTGATTTCTATAACCGTTTAGACGGAAGTTAAGTTTTTATATTTTACATTTAGAAAAAATGCAAATAAACTAGTTCATTGCCTTTGGAAAAACTATGCCATTATTTTTCCTTTTTATTAAATGGAAATTTTGTTGAAAGAGGCCCATTGTCTTTAGCAGTGTTTCCCATCTGGTACACATTGTGCAGCAGCAGCAGCAGGAGCAGCAGTAGTGGAGTGAGTGACTGACTGACTCTCCCCTCATCAAGCTGATAGGGGGTGCTCTAAGGCTGCCTGACTTAACCTACACTTGATAAGGCAGAGTAGCAGGACTGTCACCAGGTTGAAGATCCAGCTCTGTGCGTGAAGAAGAAGGGGAAAAAAAAGAAACAGAGCGAGCTAGAAAAACAAAGTGTGGTATTGTGTTAGACAGCTGGCTTTCATTGCTATCATAATGCCTTCCCTTGCGATGGCATGTTTGACAGAGCGTCAGCTATGCTCCTTTACCTATCAAGCATGTTCCTCTCACATGCAGAGGAATTAGACACTGTCTGTCACCCTGATACACCACATTAGTCTGTTTTGTTTCTCTATATGTGTTTTCATTTCAATAGTTTTCCAGATTCTTACCCCCCTATACGCATTCCCTTTTTTTGTTTTGCATATTTCTCTTTCCTCCTCACATGTGAGCTTCAGGTAAGATGAGCAAACAGTTACGGTTATGAGAAGGTGTCCGACTTTCATTCCAGCACCATAGATTCGGTGCCAGCTTCTTGTCATTTACTGCCTTCTGCCCTCAGGCCCTGTTACTCAACCATAAGTTAGAAAACAGGGCTTGTTCTGTTTGTCTCTCAGTCAAGACACGACGCGGGTGTCAGTCCTCAAGTGTCTGTCATCTCATCGACTCATTGGTTGTCTAGTTTTTCTCATGCCACCTGTTTTGTTTGTCAGGGCCGGCCCAAGGTACTGTATACTAGTGCGCTGAGCAGAATCCAGTTTGTGAGCCCACTAGGGAAAACATCTAAATAACCCCATGGTGATCAGCTGTTTGCATGCTATCTTCATGCAAGTCATATCTTAGAAGCAACTGATGAATTCTTTCAACTGATTAGTTGATTATCTTGTAAGTTATTATGTAATACTTATTTAATAAGCAGGAATAAAGGTTTAAAAGGTGGAAGCTGTAAAAAAAAAATATACAGGGATTTGGGTTCCCCTCATTTGCTGCAGTAATCATTGTCTATATCGTTTTGATAAAAACTCAATAGAAATGGGAAGAATTTGCTTGTTCACACATATGGAACATTTTTAGCTACTTATTTTGATTTATTTGCAGTCACTCTGTGCATGAAATGTGAAACACGCTTTAGAAAGCATAAAACTAGATCAGTGACACTGAATTGGGAAAATGTTACATAGTGTGTTCACACATAGAATGGTTGGCGACACTTTTAAATATTTTAAGTTTGACGTTTGATAATGATAATAAAAGAAAAATACTTCAAAACATTTACCCCTTAAAACCAACAGAATGAATTTTGGCGTTTCTCAACAATAAACAATAGAAAAAAAAAATGTGCGCAGATATGATATGTTAGAATTCAGAGACTCTTTGTTGCCCCCTGCTGCTGTGGGGGTCCTAAGCTTGGGCGTGTTTTTGTTTATGCCCTGGGCAGCCTCAGTGTAAGATTCTTCATACATGTTTAGATAGCCTGAGCGTAGCTTCATCTGAATTACGGTCACAAGCTTTGAACTGTAGGTAAATATGTGTTTGTGTGCCTCATTTGCCTGCAAAGATTATGAGATGGAAATTATTTGGCAGTCGTCCAGGAAGCCATCGCCATCAAGAGAAAGATATTTGGCAGAGGTTCATCAGTGGGCTGAGTGGAAATGACTAAAATGTGCCTGTACAGGTGTGTGCGTCTATGTAGGTGACGGGTGATTGGGCCAGGAGGATAAGGAGTAATTCTATTGAACAAAAATAGATGTAAAGTGGGGTAAGAAAGAATATAGATTAACATTAATGATTTGAAAGTTTAGATAAACAGTTTGAAATGGCTGATAAGTATATTTATGATGAGTGTCCTGATAATTGCACAACAGTATGCAGTCAATCCTGAAGGGAGACACTGATTATTTACCCTCTTTTCTTTTTTTATGTTTACGTATATTTAGCTTATCAGAGGATAGATCTAGTTGCCTGGTAGTGTGAGATCCGATTTGCTTGGGTTTATAGACTGAATGGCCTGAAACGGTGAATCCGATTGAAGGAACAATGCGGACAAACCAAAACAACTGAAAGAGAGCAAGGATGGCGACAGGAGCCATGAACACAGCTACAGTCAAATCAATTAGCAAAAAAATGTTAATCATTTTGTCCTTTCACCATTTCAAACCCTCATCATTTCATGTGTTTTATTTCTAGGGTCAGAAATCCATTTGCCTTGACATGTTTATACATATTTAACGGCAATTTGTACCTAATTTAACCAGTGATTTTTCATAATAATATTTTATTAACACTTAGTGTCAGAAATTATCTGGCTCCAATAAATATTATATATTAGCTGACGGTCATTCGGTTATTTATTTTGAACAAGCAGGGATCATCAAACCAAAAGCTCATGGTCAAAAGGTATAATTAAATTGATACAGAAAATAATCTTAAAAGATTCTTTACTTGAATGAAAACTACAGGTCAACTCTTTGCCAATTTGTACCCTAATTATTAAACCTCATGTTGTTATTTCATCCCTTCCTGCATCCATTTTATAAATGAAAGCCCACCATTACCTACTCACCTTATTAAGTTATTCATTACTTATTTACTTTGGTTATAACGTAAATACTTTAAGTCATTAAAATTAAAATCATTTTAAATATCCCATTCTTTAAACATAAACATTAGATAACTGAGAGGATTAGGAAAAAGTATTTTTCATTTTTTAATTATATTACTTTATCTCTTTATTTCCTTTATCTTTTATACCTATTGTATGTTTTTATGCAGTGCTGGTCGTTTTGCCCTGAACTTTTTCTAATACAGGACCCTTTGACCTGCCACACATCATGCATACAAAACACAATTAATAATAATAATGGTTAATGATAATCATTATTATTATTATTTTACTTTTATGTAAAAATAAAACTAGTTCTGTGTATTTAAAATATTGGATTTCATGATCATAAACTCTGACCCAATTACAGACAAAATATATGAAATATGTTGTAATACATTTTTATAAATTAACATAAAATCAAACCAAACAAAACATTTCAGCATGTCCAACAATTCATAAAAAAATTATTATTATGTAAAATAAACCCATGGCTTTGGTTATCATATAGCAGGTCATGGGAATTGCTTTGTTTCAGGGTACAAAGTGGAAGTAGGAAGGGCCTGAATATGTATACCTGCATTTTGTATGTGCAGATCATCACCCTTTATCCATAAACTAACCACATCCTACCTGTATATCAGAATCTGACAATCAAGTTTTCAAATTAGTTTTTTTTTTTTGGTTTTGTTTTGTTTTTTGGTGCAACACTTCATGCCTGTCTGCCTCAGGCCGTTTGGTACCACCCATGTGTCATTTCATACCTGGCAGAGGGATGTTTCAGACCTAATCAGACAACTGTCAAGTCAAATTTATTTTCCTTTAAATGTGCTTTAAATCTAGTTATTTAACTTCAATAAACAATAGTTAGTGTTAAATATAATTTTTTTTTCTAGTATTAAACAATTCACTTGAATTTAATTGTTTCATCAAATAGGGTAATATGCAACATTTCAGGTACTTAGTATTAAATGCTTTGCTTCAGGTATGAAATGGAAATTTCTGTACAGGAAATTTGAGGAAATTACTTAAAGGGGGAATAGACCGTAAACCATAATTATAAAAAAAGTTCAAGATAAAGAAAGAAAGCCATAATTAATAGTAAAAATTAAATAGAAATTCTGTAAAAGGGCTCTTTGTCTAATCATTATGATCACTGGGGTGTGATGTAAAGGAAGGGAGAAAGCAGAAACAAAGGAGAAGGAGATGGGCTGTTCTCCCTCCCACAGGCACCACCACCTCTCCCTGAGCGCCCACCCGCCCGCTCGCTCCCTCAGACATCCCTCACAGTCTCTGGAGCTTCTGGTTTCCTTTGGGCTCTGGACATACAATATTTTCATGCTGGTACATCAGGGTAGGGTTAAAAAAATGTGGAAGTTGTCCATGAGGGATTTGTGTAAAGCCGAGGGACTGTGCCATGTGGGGGAGAGGGATGTGTAATAGTTATTAATGACCGTGTCAGATCTGTGAAGAATGAGATTTACTCTCCTAACAGGACCCCAGCTTTGGCTTTATGGATTTTCTGTCTGTTGAGAATACTGTTTAAACTCACCTGAGTCCTGATCCATTCATGCACACACGCAAGCTGCTTTCCCCTCCTCATGTTTCCCTCTCAGACACACACGCTGAGGCTGGTGGATGTGGCCTTGGTTACGCTATACTTTGTTGAGTAAAACTCAAGGCTCCCACCTGGTGAAGGCAACCATCTCGCTGTGACAGCTCAGTGCAGCTAAGGGCCCTCACCGGAAACCCAGCCTGCACCATGAGATGAATCGTTTCCTGGCCGCACAAACACACGCGGAGCAAATACATTTGCAGACGCACACCAACATGTAGAGTAAAGTGTTTGGTCCCACCTACGCAGATTTCTCTCAGAGATAAGTGGTGCAGGTGTTTATCTAGGTAAAGGAGTTTTAACAGCGACTCTGTTTCAAACCCCAAACGTGACACAGTTTTTAAAAGTAACGACCACCCTGTGTGGTACAGAGGCATGTTTCTTATCTTGTATTGGTTTCAGGACGTATCTGTGTTGAGTTTTTTATTTTTTTGAGAAAGTTTTTCTCACTGACTGAGGGGTTTTCTGCATCTTTGTCTTGCAGCGGATGTCAACCATGACTCAGGAGCGCAATCTCCCTCTCCGGAGCCATCCACCCCGAGTCCTTTGAGGATGGGGCCCGGAGAGCACGATCTCTTGACCTGCGGTCAGTGCCAGACCAATTTCCCCCTCGGTGACATCCTTATTTTCATCGAGCACAAGCGCCGGCTATGCAGAGGCCCCGGCGGCAGACCTGGTACCTTCTCCAAGCCCGGGGAAGCTGGTGGGATCATGGGCATCCCCATCCCTCCAAGGGCCCGGTCACTGGATCTTGGCAGGGGTTCGATTCCAGTGGAGGTGGGCATCCAGGTGACCCCAGGGGGAGAGGAAGATGAGCAGAGGAGGCTGACTCCAGCTAAGGGGATCTGCCCCAAACAGGAAAAAGGAGGTAGATATAACAAGTCTTAAACACGCAGACACATCCCTCACCTTCCCAAAAAAGACAGCTTCCTTTAAAGAGAGCTGTTTGTTATTTTGACGGTGGCCTTCAGATGGAATTAATGTAGCCTTAGATGATTTTATTAGAGTGACTCAGAGCTGCAGACCTGTGTCTACTTCATGTCAGAGAAATAACACCCATACAGCTCCTTCTACAGCAAATTACTTGGGTGTGCATGCTGGTAATGAGTAAATATAAATGTAGATAAGCATATTGTCACCCCTGATTAGAAAAAAAAAAATACATCTTTATACTAAACATCAAGATTATCGTTAAATGTTTAGAAATTATGAACTAAAAGTGACTCAGCTTTTTTATGCCCCTGGTGGCTTAACTTTAAAAAATAGTTTTCTTTCTTTTCAAAATGTTTAAGTGATCCGGGAGGCTAGGGGTCTTTAACTATTCCTCTTTCATTAATCTCTACAGATCACTTAGTCCTGGATTATTCATATTCTCTTCTCAGCCTACAGATTATTATGTTTTAATTTAATCTAAATCTCTGGGCTGACATGCATTTGGAAGAAAGCTATTTTTGTTTAAGTTTTGACCATTCCTGTGTTGATTTGGAGATTTGTTTTGGACTTTTACCGACCTGAAAAACCACAGACATGATCCTCTCTTTGTTTTCCGATGCTTTAAGATTTTTCTTTCAAATATCTCCAAATTTTAAAAAGTTATGCCATATAATAAGATTCTCAGGGTTGTTAAAAGAGAAATTAGTTCCAAAGAACCACAGATCCTCCACCTTTTAAAGTGACCATGAGTTTCTTTTCTACATATTCCCTGCTTGTTTCACCCCAAACCTAAAGTGTTTCCTATTCATTAGTATATTTGTTTCTGATCAAAGCCAATGTTTCCAGTTAAACTCTCAGTGGAGTTAAGAAACCTCCTTATGTTTACATTTGTGATGTTAGGTAAGGAAATGTTCTTTTGTTGCGAGTATCACTCATGCCAACAGTGTGTTGGCATGTAGATAGCATTAATTATTGTTCGTCACCTCTGGTTGCCACTCTCTGCTAAAATCCTCAGCCAGTAAGCTTTGGTTGTATGTATCTATAACAATCTTTACCAGGAGTGTAAAAAAATGTGTGTGTATACACTCATTTTGACCCTGTTCACCGGAACCGCCCCCCAATACCAATATATACACGTCTTTAAGGCAAAATCCTTTCCAAGACTCCCTCAATAGGGTTTATCTTTTTTATTTTTTTTATTTTTATTTTGGAGTGTAAATCAGTTATCTGAGTATTTGAAAAGAAATCCTACAGCATATGAAGAGGTTAAAGATTAAAATGTGTCTGTGTGCGTGTGTGGGAGTGTGGAAAAGTGGCTTAATAAAGCTGCGAGGCCGTTCATCTGGCTGTGAATGGGGAAAAGAGAAAACGGCTGGAGGGCTAGGAGAAAAGGGGGGGTGTGGAGGAATGGTAAGGCTGCCGGAGCTGTAAGGAAACCAATGCAGTTATCAGAGGAGACAGTCACCATCACACCCAAAAGCTAGGGAGGCTATCCAGGATTTCGCCGGCTTCAGCAGACTAAGATGTTTCCAGACAGAATTTCATGCACGATTAAACTTCTGACAGGGAAAGCGGCCACTGCTGTGTTACACTATTGTATGATGGTCAGATCTAAGTGGTTAACAGGGGAACATTTAGGGTTTTGTTCCATAAGTACTTATGTTAATTATGTATTCTCAACTTCACACTTTGTCACTTCTGACTGAGACATCTGTGATGTTAGTGTATTGAATTAGCATGCTACTAGGCATGGGTCAGCGAGTCTTATTTTAGAAAAACCTTAAGTTAAATACAACATTATCAATATATTTACACAAACATTGAAAGAAAAGTATCTAACTGACATGATATAATAGGTTTAATGTATCAAATATAGCTTCTATTACTCCTACTGAAGCTGAAATGATATGATGACTATTACAGCTATAGTAGTGTTATCTTTACTGTTTATTTCTTATCTTGATGCAAAATAAATTATAAAAGAACATGGCCAGCAAACAAATTTAGGGCCCTTGACTTTATTTTGTTTTTCTTGTTTATGATTTTTGTGTACGAGTGGTCCATCGTCAGTGGTAACCGTGGGAAACAAAGCTACAGATTCTTCACACATTAACAGCTTTAAGTGTATCATAGAAGTCAGAATTTGAAGGCTGTTTTCAGAGAAAAATGTTTTTAGACATCGTGTTTTTCACCTTAGTTCTTTTATTCACCTAAAAAGAAGCAAGGTGAATAATAAAGCATAGGATAACTTGCCTGTTCCTAAATTTATCAGTCATAGTTTATCATGTGTTGTTTGATAGTGTTCTTTTAGAGGAGCAATGGGTAGCTCTGACTTTAGCTTCAACACCAGGACTTTACAGGTTTTCCATTCCAGAAATGTTTAGAATGGAAGTGAAAGAGTCTTGTTTGGCCGTCTGACTAACAATGCCCAGTTTGTCTTTCTTCTAGGTCAGTCAAAACATGTAGTTTCTTTTTTTTCCTTAGCAAGATAACCAGCGGTACATCGCAAAATATGTTTTCCTTGTATGCAAAGAAAAATTGTTTCTAAAGTTTTTCAGTTTTTATTTTCTTTGTATGCAAGCTGATCGACAACTTATCACTTATTTAGTTTCTCTTGTGACATAAAGGTATAATAGTCTTCTTTTGGACTACTGACCAGCATAAACAAGAATTATTAATTTCTGTTGTCGTCGATCCAGCTGTTTCTCTACTACAAACGATCGTAACAATGTGAAAGACTTTAGAAACCTTTATGAAACCTTGATAGTTTTAAACTCGTGCCGTCAGTAATCAGTTTTATACTATGTGCAAAAACGCGTCCATTTGGATGACTAAGTAATGCATTTTTATAAATGGCATTTTTTGCAGATGAATGCGTAGCTGTTGTTTTGTTGTTTCTCAGTGGTGCTGCAGGATTTGTTTGTTTGTTTCCATACATGTTTCTAAGCTTTCACAGAGAGGTTCCCTGGGGCTTGTGCATCTTGAAATGTTACCAGAACAACTAGAAATGAATAAGGAAGTTAGATAGAACCTGTTTAGTTTCTGTTATCACCAAGCTGGCTCTTTAGGTATGAACTAAAACGCTGTGCAAAAAAAGGCATGGCCATTTCGAATCTGAACAAATTGTTTATTTTTGAGCCAAACTCAGTAAAGACCTCTTTTGTTGTCTGTGCAACTGTTGGTACATATGCACGGCGTCTGTGTGTGGCCAGCAGCTGTGTGTGGCCATCATCTGTCACTGTAAAGGGAGATCAGAGACAATTTGTGACAGCAAAGGTTTGGATGTCGCTGTCGATTTGCGAGAATAAAAGTGAAGCACATAAAGAATCTCTCCATATTTCTCTCAGTAGATAATAAAAATATCTGACCATCCCTCAATAACAATCTGTCTTTTGTTAATTGTGTTGTTTTTTTGGAAATAGATTTAGGAAAATTGAAGAGCTTCCCAAGGCTGTGGGAACAAACAAAGAGAAAAATAAATTGCCAATCAATCATTTTACTGTGGGTTTTGTCTTTGCAGGACGGTCAGGAGAAAAAAGAGGCAGAGTAGAGACTGAGTCAGCCTGTTAGAGCTGCAGCCAGTTAGTCACTCAGACGGAGAGACTTATCACTAAGAGAACAGGACATGAAAGCACTCCAAGGCCCAAATGAAAGTGAGGAGGGAAGCTTTGTTCAACACATTAGATTGCCACTCAACTCTGTCTCAAGTTTCAAGCAAATTAGATTACATTATTAGGACTAATCAAGTCCAAAGTGTTAGAAGCACTCACACTCGCTAGCAAATCTCTCACACACACACACACACACACACACACACTCTGTAAGGAAATATCATCATTTAACCGCATGTGAGCTTCAGTGCACACCACCAAACACAGCCTGCAGAGCATGTGAAGAAAGTAGGGAGGTTCACTAAAGTACTCAAATTTTGCACGCTAATAATGCACAAAATGCTTATGTAGCATGCAAAGCATATGCTTAACCCCTCTCCTCTTCACCTGGTTGTGTTTTATAACATCCTGTCTGGCCTCTTTGTCTGTCAACCCGCTCGCCTAAACTGCAAACATGCTGCAAGGCCAGCAGATTCAACCCCAAAAGGTGCAAGCGCACTCGTACAAACACGATAACACACACGTGTGCATGCCTCATTTTATGATACACACAGTAGATGAAAAATGGCCCTCCTCTACCCTCTTTTTTAATTTATTCCCATGCTGAGATTCTTCTGCTGATGCATGCACAACATGTGTGTGTATGTTGGTGGAATATATATATATATATATATATATATATATATATATATATATATATATATATATATATATATATATATATATATATATATATATAGATATAAAACCATTCTGTTTTTTTGTTGGATTTATTGGGGTTGTTTGGATTGGATGCGTGCATGTGAAGAATGACGAGTGTCATCACAGGCGAAAGGTTGTCGCCTGGGAAGCGTTGCCATACTGAGACGACCCTGACCCTCCTTTGAACTCCTCTCAGGACGCCCCCCCGCTGCCACCTCAGAGCACTTTAAGTCATGGGGGCGAAGTCACTTCATGAAAACCCTTCCCTCCTTCCGTGTCTGTGTCTTTCACCACATAGTGAATATTTCATGAGATGTGAGCAACAGAGACATCCTCTAACATCTCTCTCCGTTTTGCTCTCTGTCCACCTGTGAATCTGAGTTATGTCACATTTTGCAGCACCAGTTGGCTTTACTTTTGTGTGTGTGTGTGTGTGTGGGGGGGGGGGGGGTAAAAAAAACCTTCTTCAATACTGCTATTCAACTGAACTAAAGTGACACCTGATTTACCATCAAAGGACAAAAACAGAGATAAATGACGCTTCAGAACGGTCCCAATCTCATGTAGGAAATTTCTGCGGTTGAGAAAATGTGCAAACCAGCGTTTTAAACGTGATAAGATC